AAAAAAAAAAAAAAAAAGTAAATCTTATGTATATTTTGCCACAAAAAGAAACTGCATATTCTTATTCATAGCAGCTATTTAGTTTGAGCAAAATATTGATATATTTCAACTAATTATGTTAGTTTGAGTTAATTTGGGTTCGTTTGAATTTTATTCACTTTGTGGTTTTATTATTTGTAAGTTTGTCTCATTGGATAAAAATTTTTTGTAAAAATTAGGAGTACGCAAGAAGCTTTTCTCCTTTAAAAAGAATTTATACATGAGTTTCAAGGTCAATAGTCTACTAATCAGTGCTAGTTACTATTACAAGGCAAGTACTCTTCTAAATGAATTACATATATTAACTCAATTAGTCCTCACAGCAACCCAAAAACTTGGGTATAATTTTACCAAGGAGAAAACTGAAGCACGAAAAGGGGCACTCATTTAACAAAGATCACCCAGCCAACAGCAGAAACAGGATTTGAAGGTAGGCAACTGGGCTCCACAGTGTGGATACATGGATATAGCTGAATAATTTATCTCCAATTTTCCTACCTCCAGTCCATCCAACCACTTATAATCACTCTAAAAAACAGCTTAGTACATAGGTCCCTATCTTCCTTCTCCACTATAGTGAAAAGAAACCTCATGTTAAATCCAAACACCCTGGACTGACATTTAATGTCTCTCACAATCTGGACTCTTTCCAACATAACCACTGAGAAGTCCCAGATTATATAAATAAAATCCTACCCCATCCCCAGTCAACTGAACCGACTCCCTCTTGGCCAAGGCAAACCCCAAAGAAACCTTAGAAACTCAGTTCTCAACCAAGATAGGATGGGATGTCAGACACACCTCGTTATACCCTTTCTCATTTGGGGTTTAGACACAACTGACCAGCATTAATGTAAAATAGAGATAGTATGAGTTGCAGAACAGACTCTGTGGCAATAAGCTACCAAATGATAAACAAGACCTAAGGCCATGCCATGCACACACCCCCTCCACTTAAAAGAATGAACTATGTTCTAACTGCCACAGTTTTTTTTTTTCCTCTAGTGGCTAAATAAGCACTGGCCTCCAGATAAGCAATATAAAAATAATTGCAGTTCATCCACAACCGGATGCTAACTGACTCCTCTGTTCCACAGGTCTGATAGGACAAGAGACTTCCAAAATTTTCTTCTGATAAGATCACCAACTATGGACTCTAACACGTTTACAAAGGCTGTGTGCTTAAATACCTTTGCTTCCCTCCTTCACCTTTCTTCGTACAGGGCCTAATTGTAATGCATTTAAATCTTAAGTCTGCTCCCAAAATGAACATGAGATGCATGTAACATGCATGTTTATTCAGTACGCGTGAGCACATCTCCCTTCATGAATATTCATAGCTCCTCCTATGACCTGTTGAATATGTATACTCAGCCCACTCATCCAGCATAAATCCCTGCCCCAACCCCACCTCCTTCAAAGTGCCTGCCTTTCTGCTTTGGCTGAAGCTACGGTTCCCAGCTTGTCAGTATGGCCACTTTGCAGGCTGTAACCCTTCAGAAGAAATCTCTTTAAATTTGCAGATCTCATGATCTTTCAATTTACACTACTCTACCACATGGACTAACAAAATCTTGTCGCCAGTAAAGAAACCACTTTTCTCCAGTTCTTAAACTTCAAAATGTGCAAACAAATCATCTGTCAGGGCAGGGTATCTTTTTTAAATGCAGATTCTGATTCAGTAGGTCAGGATGTCGCTCTAATAAACTGCCAGGTGATGCTAAAGGCTCCCATCTGTGGAGCACACCCCAATTAGCAAGGGTCTCTAATACATTTACTCTCATTTGTGGAGGTGCAGGTGTGTGCCCTGTTCACCTGTTTCCTCTCCCTTTTACCAGTCACAGCTTCCTCTACTTTCATGACCGAATGCCGACATTTTCTGTAGATCTCCTCCTCCTCCCTATTTTCTACCAATCCTTCTCCGGTTAGCTCAGGAAAATCTCATTCTCTCTGCATGAATGTCAAATTAGTGTTGACTCAAAACATGAAGACAGTTAATTTCGGATAAATTCTATGTTTGAGATGATGACACATAATTACGGTTTTCTCTCCCTCTCCTTCAATAAACGAAAACTGCCTGGACTTTGGAGTTAGATTTTTGGGTCCCAATCCATCTCTGACAATTCCTTTCTCTGGAACCTTGGACAAGCTACCTAACTTCTCTGTGCCTCAGTTTCTTCAACTATAAAACATGGCTAACAATAGCACCTACCTCAGAGGAATGTCAAATTCTCCTACAGGCTATATTAACTATTTTTCTTTGTATCAACTTACCATTTTACCAAGTTATTTTTAAAGGAATTTTTATGGCATTATCGTAAACAAAAAGTCAGTATCACTTGCCATGGTTAGCTGACCCATAAAAACAAATGCCATGAAACCAAACGGACTTATTAAATCCCAACTAGAGATACCTCTGGATACTGCAGGTGGGATTATCTAGCTAGAGACATAGTCAAGACTTTCTCCTTGTCAGTCGCCCACACAGACGACTGCGATTAAACGAATTAATGCTCTGCAATGCGTTTACAACAGGGCGCCGTAGGTGCTGCTCCCAACTCCAGGCCATCGTCATGACAGAATCAATGCCAGTTCATGCCCACATTCTGGGGTTGGGAGTAGGACACCCGGGATGTCTATGGAGATTCACCGGCCTGGCCTGGGAATCCTGGCCGGCGGGCTCTGGGGGACTTGGGGGGCCACGTACTGGACTCGGGACGTCTCTTCCCAGGGCGCTGGCGGGTCCTCACACGCTCGCCGCAGGGCCGCGATCTCAGCTTGCAAAGCGCGCACCTCGGCCAGCTCTGCGTCCATGGCGCGTTGCTGACCAGAGCAGCGCCGGCTGCGCCGCTATCACTCTGACCCGCGCATTTCACCGGCGCTTCAAGCCTCCCGCGCGCTCCCGGCGCGGACCATCCCAGAGCTCACGCGGAGGGGAGGCGGGAGAGCCACGCGTGACTCCCGCGGCACTGTGCGTCCAACTCCGCGCTCGCACGAGAGCCCGGGTCCTCGACGTCCCTGCACACGTTTTTCTGGCCGTCTAAGCAGTGCCTACACTTTCGGGAGAGCGCGTTCTTTGCTACTCCAAGCCCGCTCCGCTGCCCACCCCCCGCCAGCAGCCTTGGAGCCGCCCGGCCGCGTGCGTCACTAAAGAGGCAGTGCTGGAATCACGTGGAGGGGAGTACCTCTTTATTTTTTTTCCTCCTTCTTCCTCACTTCCGCCGACCTAGTCCAGGAATTGGTACAGCAATTGTGTTCAATAGAAACTAGTGGATTTTTGGTTTCGGCTCTTTTGTGGTTGTTGAGGGGGAAGTGACGGAGGCGTCAGGGAAGGTGGGAGGACAGCAAAGGAAATTAAGAGCTCTTGGGAACTGAATTGTGGTAACGGAACGTTAGGGGGCTGGGTTGGAAGTTGAGTAGGAAGGAAGAGAGGATGCTCCGTTGGGACATGTGACCAGAAATGAGGTGCTGCGGAGGCGCTGGCTTTAGGTGAAGACGTGGTGAGGAGTGGGTTTGGGGCCTGAGAAATCACAAGGCTGTTCCCTAGCCTCTCTCTTCACTTCTCTGGGTCTTCTCGGAGAAAGAAGGCTGAGGTGGGTAGGGTGGGGGCGGAAACTATCGGGATAAGTAGGCCGGATCTCTGCCTAGAATACATGCCATGTGGTGGACGCTGGTTGAGAGTCTCGTTTGGGAAGAGTCTGTCAGCTCTTGGAGAAGGGCAGGGTGAGAGCTGAGCGCCTGCCGGGGGCCAAACGAAACGATTGATATTATGATGGGCCTTAGTAGCTCTGGAAGTTTTTCCGAATCCCCTGTGATCCAGCAACCTTCACAGTATAGTGTTAAGAATTCCAAGTTCTGAAGTTAGACCTGCATTATAATCCTGGATTCACTAATTTTCGGTATGGCATTGGGAACGTGACTTAACCTCTTCTGCTTTTCTGGAAAATGGGAAGCATGCAAACTACTTTATACAGTGCCTGCAGGCACATAGCAAAAACACAAGTCTGTATTCGCTATGTCCGTTGATCTTTGTGTTTGAACCCCACTTTGCAGCACTTTGTGACATAATATTGTACCATTTGTTTAATTCGTTTGTGATTATGAGGAGTTCCAGGAGCTCCTAGCCGCTCTATTCACTTTCTCCGAGGAAGAAGGCTGGGGTGGGTAGGTTGGGGGCGGAGACTATTAGGAAAAGGTAGCCCAGCTGTTTTTATCTTTTAGTGTGTTACCTGCCACATCCTATTTCTGTCAGCCTTTGTTTAAGACAGTAAATGAGGGCCGGGCGCAGTGGCTCACGCCTGTAATCCCAGCACTTTGGGAGGCCGAGGCGGGTGGATCACGAGGTCAAGAGATCGAGACCATCCTGGTCAACATGGTGAAACCCCGTCTCTACTAAAAAT